TGATATTTTTTTACTTTTTGAATGGGTATATCTAAATTTCAAACAATTTTTGACAATTTGCTCACTTATTTTGTGAAAGTACAAAATTCTTACTACCCAATGATGCAAAAAAGATAAAGAAATTCAAAACTTTGTTTGGAACATTTGTCTCCTGAAGGTGAAGTAATTTTAGCCATTTTAATGATGACGGGTGCAGCAGCAAGAGTCAACAAGTCACAAGTGCTTTCCTCTTCTCTTAGGAATAATAAAGTGAAAGAAAGAGTGCTTAACATCTTATATATACAAGCAAATAGTGTCTCTAGACCTTTTTGAAGTAAGACGGCCGTTTGTTGAGAAGAGCCTAGTGTTCTTTCACCACGCTTGCCACTTTAACAAAAGAATATGAGAAAACTACCATAACCAATTGCATTAAGTAGCATTCTAGAAGCCTCAAGTATCTAGTGAAGTCCCATCCATGTACCAGAAAGACGTTAGCAAGCTTTGTAGTGAAGCTAGTAGTGAATCCACCATTGCTGAACCATAGATTGTACGAAGTGGCTACGGAACCGGTACTGGTTTCCATTTTCAAGGTCTTATAGAACCGGCATGATCACGTGGTGCCTAAACCACGCCCATTTTAACGAGCTAATTAAATAGTAATTATTGATTAATCATTATCTGAAATTAACTTCCTTATTTTCTTTCTTTAATTTTGTTTATCTCACAATTATTCATCATTGTTTCTTTGAATTCACTCTTTTTATTGTTATAGTTTATCAAAGTACTTTTTTAATCCAAATATTTTCAACAACACACATCACAGAGTAGGATTAGTGTGGCACTTCCTACAAAACCAATATCTTGTTTTGGGCCTATCTTTTAGACCACAACATTTCAGGTGAGTCCATAACAAGCAATGATCACAGCCAATAGATGGAAAATTCTCCAGATCTTGCTGACAGCAATTACAATAGTAAACATGTGTCTTCTGTTTTTCTTGTACCACGTTTGTTACACACAGCCATGCATCAGTAGTAAAGAATGGTCTAACAAGATGAACGTCGACATTTTCATCCAGGACTCCTTCATGTATTAGCTCGGGCTTTATCTCAACATTATGTTCTTCAATGAGGCTGGGAGGACTACCAAGAGCACGAGTAGCTACGTCTTTATCAACAAACCACTCCAATATGACTAAATTTAAATTAATAATAACTATTATTAAAATTATAGTCGTAGACTCGTATTACCTTTTTGTTTCATACGTGTACTAAGTTTGATAAA